CCGCGGAGACCCAGTCCTCGGCCGGCCTCCGGAGGAAAGGCCCGCAGCGCCGCCTTGTGGCCCCCGCGGGGATGGCGCATCGCCGGGGCCTCCGCCGGGCCGGGTCCCAGCGCAGCCGATCCCAGCGCCCCGGGAGAGGTGGGGCCGCGTGCGCGCAGGCGCCCCGGGGGACGGTCCCCGCCTGCCCTCCAGGCTGCGTCGGGGGCTCCGCGCCGCCGCCGGCTCGCTCCCGGCAGGAGGGCCTGGGGGCCGCCTCAGCGCCCCGGACGCCGAGCCTCCCTCCTGCCCCGAGAGAGCGTCCCCGTCGGGGGGCAGCCCACGCGGCCCTGCGGGCCCCCAGCAGGGACAGACGGCCCCCTGCCCCTGTCAGGGCTCGGGTCCCCGCCCCCGCTGCCCTCGCGCCCGCCCTCGCTTACGGGGTGCGGTGGGCGGCGCGGGCAGGGGACGGCGCCTCTGGGCCGCCGCTTCTCTCTCTTCCTCCCCCTTCCTCGCCCTCCTGGGTCTGAGTCGTGGCCCCACTGCGTCCCTGCACCGTCCAACCGCCCCCCACCCCTGCATCCACTGGGCTCCTGCGCATGAAGACAACATCTGAAGGAAGAGGCGGGAGGAGGTGGCTGAGGGGATGCTGAGAACCCGGGAACTAAGAGCAGAACTGGAGGTGACAATCAAGAGAGAGAGCAGGGGTGCAGGAGGGGAGCAGGACCGAGACAAAAAGAACTGGGAGAGAGGGGATGGCTGCCTGGGTCACTGATGGTCAGAAGCTCCCTGGACAAGGAAGCCCCAGAGGAAAATCTGGGGTCAGTGGGGAAGATCTGGATTATATGTCTGTTCATGTTGGATAGTGTGCAGCCAAGAGGGTGTCCCAGTTCTGCAGGAGAGTCCGACATGCTTTCCTGTGTCACAGCCCTCCCTGGAGATCCCTCTTGATTCACTGGTGGTCAGGCCACGAGCATGCTCATGTTCTTTCCAGCAGCTGGTATTGGGTGCCCTCCCCCCAATGCCATCACAGCTCTTGAATGTGTCCCTTCTCTGTAAGAATGTCCTCAGAGCCCAGATGGGATCTCTCGCCCCACTCAGCCTCACACACTCACCTGTGAGCCACACGTCCCTACCCACCCACCGAAACCTCGAGTTCCCTGTCAGAGACACCCACTGCCTCTTGGAACCATGTGCCCTTGGCTGAGCTTCTCCTTGCCCGCCTCCTCTGCCCAGTTTCCCCCAGCTTTCTGGCTGCTAGCAGCTCTTCACACACTGGGGCTCAGTGCTTCTGACCTCCCCCAGCAACTCTGGTGCTAAAAGGAGCTTCAGACCAAGAGTCCAGATGAATTCCTGAGGGGCACCTGCTGGACGCAGTGAAGTAGGGAAATCAGATCAGTTTGCGGCTCAACGTCCTTATCTGTAAAGTGGGCTGAAGGAACTGAGTATTTCTCCCATCACTTTGGCCCTGGCACTCTCGGTGTCCTGCTGCGCTCCCTTGCCTCCCAGCCCATGTTCTTCCCTTCGCACCCTGCGTCTCCCTTCTTCTGTCAATCTTCCGTGGCTTCCCAACAGGCTCCATTTAGCCTACATCTCAGCTCCCAGAGGAGATAAAATGATCAGTCCGTAATCTGTTTTCTCATCCTCCCTGTCCATCCCATCCAACCTCAGCCTCTGTTGCCAACTCACATTCAGGATTGTCACCTGGTTGGGGAGCTCACTACACACACGTATGGGCAATAAGTCATTATTGACTGTATATAAAGAGCTCCACCCAGTGCACGGTTCTCTCCCAGGACGTTTGGATTTCTGTGTGTAAATATATTGACACTGTCGTGTATTGTATTTCTGGCAGGATGGTACACTATCCAACTTGAAAAGACATATAATACAAACACCCAGAAATGCAAGGTAAAAAATTGCCTTTTAATTCTGTTTGAATGCACAGTGATATTCACACTGAAATAAGAACAACCCCCCTAGGAATAAAAGAAGGAAGAAATGGAACCCCAGAGGCAAACAAGAACGGACACTCAGGCAGAGGAGGCATTGTATGGGCCCCCTGGGGTCTGGCTCTCACGGTCACGTGGGTCCGGAGATAGGGCCCTGAGGCCAGGCAACGAGGCAGCGGGTACAGCGCAGGCTTCCACTGCAGTCAATTCTCAGGACACGAGAGACCAGAGAAAACACACCCAGTCTTCCACATCTTTTCTGAGTTTTGTTCACTTACTCTGTCGGTTGCTGAGAACAGGTGTGTTGAAATCTCCAACCCTAATTGTGATGTGTTTTTCTCCTGTTGATCGTATTGATCTTTCCACCATGAATTTTGAATTTCTGTTATTAGCTACTTGAGAACTAGGATTTTTATGCCTTGTTTACGGACTGATCATTTTATCTTGAAGAAATATTCCTCTCATTTACTGCTCCCAGATCTCCTCTGTCCCTCTTACAGATCTGAGTTTACCACTTGCATTATTCCTCTTTATCCTGAAGGACTTGATGTACCACTTCTTAGTAGATCTACTGGGAAAGAATCCTCCCAGCTCTCATTTATCAGAAAATAACTTTATTTTACCTTTATTATTGAAAGGTACTTTTGCTGACTATATCTAGCATTCTCTGGAATTCTAAGTTGGCAGTTTTGTTTCTCAACGCTTAGAAGAGATCATTCCATTATCCTCTAGCTTATGTTTCTAACAAGAAGGCAAATGCCATTCTTACTTATTTCCCTGTATCTACTATGTCTCTTTCCCATGGCTGCTTTTGAGATTTTCTCTGGTTTTCAGTATTTTAACAGTGACCTACATTGGTATAATTTCATTTGAATGTTTCCTGCTTAGGATTTACTAGGACTTTTGAATTTGTGAATTGATGTTTTTAATCAACTTTGGGGAAAATTCGGCCATTATTTCTGAAAATGTTTTTTCTGCACCAATCGGTTGTTACAACACAAGTCATACACACTCTGTTTAGTTATTTCAGTCTTTTTTCTCTGTTTTATTTTAGATGGTTTCTATTACCCTTTCTTCAAAGTCACTGACTCTGTTTCTACAGTGTTTCTTCTGCTGTGAAGGTCATCCAATGTGTTTCTGTGTTTTTCAAAACATATTCTGTGACTTCTGTGTTTTTAAAATTTGTATACATTCTATGAGATTCCCCATATGTTCACCCATTCTTTTTCTCTTTATTCTTTTTATCATTCATATACCTCAAATAGATGTATATATTTGAAGTATAAATATTATATGTGTATCTATATTTATTTGAAAATAGAAAGAGGTTCTATTTACAAAGGGTAGGGGAAACTCAACGAAGAAGCCTGCAGCTACGAGCAACAGCTGTCACCACCTCCAGGTCTTAATGACCAGATAGAGGAACTTTAATGACCAGTCTTACTGGAACCTGGATTGAGGAACCAGTCCAAAGCAGAGCCGCAGGCCAAATAAATTTCCAATGTTAGTTTTGAACTTTTCTGCTAGTTCCAATGTCTAGCTTACCTGTGGGTCTGTTTCTGTTGATTTTTTTAGGTGTCCAGTTTTCTTCACATAGCTCACAATGTTCTGTGATGTACGAGACTTTGTATATAGTTAACAGTAGGAATTTAATTACATAATGTTTTTTGCTTAGTTTTCATTTCCAGGTGTATACCATCTCTTTCTGATGTGCAGCTGCTTAAGTGAGGAGCTGATTATTCAGAGTTCACCAAGTATCAAATTCATCTTGGCCTAGGCAGTATTTGTCTTAAACTGGCCTCATCTCTGGTTCACGTTCTCCCAGCGCCACAGCTGTCCCTGCCCAAGTCTCATTACTTTGTCCTTATCAAGGCTTAATCCTGGAGCCTGGTGAGACCTGGGCCTCACCATCATCTTTTAAATCAGTGGTAGAAGGGCTCTTTGTTTCTACGCACCACTGGATGCATGAAACTACAGTCCTTTCTGCATTTAAGCCCTGCTTTCACTGCCCCAGCCAAACAGGAGTGGGAAGCCACAGAGAATTGCTAATCAAGTAAATTGTGCTGCATTTGAGTATTTGAGACTCCAGTCTCCAGCCTGTGCCCACCATTGTCAATGGCATTTCTATCTCAGTCTTGGCAGGCTTTCTTCTCCACTGTCACTTCCAGGAACTGCCTTTGCTTGTCAGTAATTGTGGGTAAAGTGAAGGTTCCTATGGCCAGGATTGTCACCTGGCCCTGGTTGGTGAGCTCACTACACACATGTGGGCAATACATCATTATTGACTGTATATAAGAGCTCCACCCAGTGCTCTGGGTGACATGGTGGCATGGCTGCAAGGCTACAGGAGAGCAGAGACGAGGCTGGAGTGATGGCAGTGCTGAGGATAGAGACAGAGACAGCTTGTGGGGTCAGAAAGGCCCAGAGGCAGAGACCACCTTGCTGCATGTAGACTCGCTCTGAGTGGACAGGATTCTAGTGATTAACTTAGCACCATGAGAATAAGGTTGGGTATAAACTCTTTCACCCCAAGAATGTTCCAGTCATTTCTTTGACCTCATTGAATCCACAGTGAACTTGTCCAGGGCCGAAACCCATTGGTGAGACAGTCATGTATACAGGGCTCCTCTCGCCAAAAATCAGTCCACCTGGGGTTTTCTTGCACCCACCTGTCTTCAATAGTTTCATAGTTAAGTACAAGTTTTATAATATCTAAACCTGTTGCTGTTACCAGGGGAGCAAAGATCTTCTGCATCCTTTCATATCCTAACCAGAAAGCTGTTGATTACATTTAAGTTGTAGCCAAATTGCAAAGAAAATGATCATCTCTCCATTTTGTCTATAATTGAACTAGCTTCTGCTGGGTGAAAGGAAAAGAAGGAGAAAAGAGTCTAGTTATGTTTAAAACTTACTGTGGGATCTAGGATTCCATTTTTCCATCACGAGCCCAGATGCTCCTACTATACAAACAGAACACAGATGAGACATATTCACTGAGGCTACGATTCACCAGTCATTTCTAATTCCAAGTCTTTGAAAGCAAACAATGGTAACAAGTGCAAAACTACCGAGAACTGAGCATGGAGCTGCTGCCGAGTGAGCCGGATACTGAATACCGTTGTGGGTACCATGCTGAGCTGAATACCATCCTGAGCAAAAATGTGGCAGATATGAAAGGCTGTCTTGGGTATGTCACCTCGCTCCCACGTAATGAATGTGCTAACCTCCTCATCTGGGCAGGCATAAAAGAAGTTATTTTTATTTAAATACAACTTCCAGAGGTTGTGGAGAAAGGGGAACCCTCCTACACTGCTGGTGGGAATGTAAATTAGTTCAACCATTGTGGAAAGCAATATGGAGGTTCCTCAAAATGCTCAAAATAGACTTACCATTTGACCCAGGAATTCCACTTCTAGGAATTTACCCTAAGAATGCAGCAGCCCAGTTTGAAAAAGACAGATGCACCCCTATGTTTATCGCAGCACTATTTACAATAGCCAAGAAATGGAAGCAACCTAA